CCTTCTGTCACGAGCCCGGCGTCTTACCACTAGACTACCGTGCCGGCTACCATAGTGAGACTACTGACAGTAGAGTTTGAAATAGTTAGACTTCTGATCTGTACAGTTGGAAATAGTGGGACTGCTGTCTGCTGACCGGTAGAGGTTTGAATAGTGAGACTACTGACCAGTAGATGCAGAAATAGTTAGACTTCTGACCAGTACAGTTGGAAATAGTGGGACTTCTGACCAGTAGAGGTTGGAATAGTGAGACTACTGACCAGTACAGTTTGAAATAGTGGGACTACTGACCAGTAGAGGTTGGAATAGTGAGACTAATCAGACCAGTACAGATGGAAATAGTGGGACTACTGACCAGAAGAAGTTTGAATAGTGAGATCACTGACCTGTGGAGATGGAAATAGTGAGTCTTCTGGCCAGTAGAAGTTTGAATAGTGAAATCACTGACCCATGGAGATGGAAATAGTGAGTATCCTGGCCAGTAGAAGTTTGATTAGTGAGATCACTGACCCGTGGAGATGGAAATAGTGAGTCTTCTGGCCAGTAGAAGTTTGATTAGTGAGATCACTGACCCGTGGAGATGGAGATAGTGAGTCTTCTGGTCAGTAGAAGTTTGAATAGTGAGATCACTGACCCGTGGAGATGGAAATAGTGAGTCTTCTGGCCAGTAGAAGTAAAAATGGTGGGACTACTGACTAGTAGAGGTGAAAAAAGGAAGATTAGTGACTGGTAGGGATGGAAAAAGTGAGACTACTGACCAGTAGAGGTGAGACCAATGACTTGTAGATCAAGTACAAGTAGGAGATGTATAAGTTATTCATTAAATGTTCAATTGTGAAATTAGTGAAGATAATATATCTAGATTGATAGCAATACAATAGATCAAGCAGTAGAATTGACAAGTAGAAATAAAGTTGTAACTTGTAGAAACAGTGACTAGATAGAGACGGTCCTTGCTCCTTGTGTCGTATGGAGGAGAGTTTGGGTGACATGACATCGCATAAGGAGCGTTTGTCACGATGGGATGAGGTGGTGACGTGTAGGCATGCGATTTGTATTGGTGTTTCTGGTAATGTGGATTTCCTGGGATCAATAAGACGGCTTGGGTTACAGATGACAGATTGTTGCTGCTGTAGCTATGGCAATAACTTGCATCTTCTCTCTATTTACTCTGATTGCCCTTTCCATTAAGAGACAAAAAGGCGACTGCTAACCGAACGGGCTTGTGTAAAATCTGGACTTGACCAACGTCCCCAAGTATCACTGATACTACACTTACCCGTGAAGTACATAGGGTGTTACTAGAACTACTCTAGACCAATATTATAAGACTATTTCATGCCCAGGGGTGTAGGATAGGGAAATTCCACCCGAGGGGTTTTCAAATTTGGTAAAGCCGAGGGTTTTGCCAGATTTAAAAATCCCGAGGGTGGAATGTCACTATCCTACACCCTTTGGCATGAAAGAGTATTTCTCTCTTTCCAACCACCAGAATAAGCCCAGAAACCATAAAATGCGTTTGGACTGGTCACTATTTTGAAAATATCAATTTTCCCCCCGAGCTTTTTAGACGAAAACTAATCAGCCAGCCAGATTAAGCATATGCCATATTTGCAAACAGTGTTTGCGTAGAAAAATAAATCACATCTTGCTAACGTGTATGGTAAATATATAGTAAAAGGTTTTAATTTCATCACATTGCCTTTTCCGCATTGCGGAATCGGAGAGTTCAAAATTCATGTCACGTCATTGTTGAGCCATTGTGACATCAGGTCACGTGAAATGGGGTGTAAGATAGAAATTTTCTACACCCCTTTCTTACCCTGGACAGCTTTATCTTACGCACAGAGAAATGAGAGAATAATATATCCTTTGGTTACTTCCAGAGCTATATATGTACACTTGACCAATACCCTGGGGTGATACCAGAAGTAAACATTTGAAATTGTGTCTGGATAGGTACTTAAGTTACATGAATACTTGACCAATGTGACTGGGGTGTTACAAACAAAAAATGTCAAGGTCCTCGTGTTGGTACCGCAGATAAAATTGATTAATGCCCTGGTGAGAAATCCACATCTGCACTTTTCCAGGGAATTATGGTTGTACAAGGACTGCATTTCACTAAATTTAACTGGTGATACAAAAACTGTACTTGATATGTATCCAGGAGTGTTACCAGTTCTACACGAGGGTGTCACAGACTTTAGAACAGATTGGTCTACATAATGATACCTACAGGGAACTGACCAGTCTTTAATTTGAGATGTGAATATTAATCCTATCTCTGGTATAAATGCCTTAGCAAGAGGAACAACCTACAAAGATTTAAACATACAAAGGACGACATACAAGATTGGTTGCGAACATCAGACCATGATTTATTAGCACATAACATAATTAACAAACAATGAAATAACAGTAAATCAATATCATTATTTTTTTGTGCTTTAAACTTAAAACTATGGACCTCCAAATCACCCAAATATTTTACGGCTTGGCTACATGAATTTGATATTTGCAGCAGACATGACATTATGAGTTTGGCCTATAAATAAGACTTCCAACATCGCTAAGCAAAAGACAAGTGCCGTTTTCAGTTCCTGGTTTTTGGTTCCTGGTTTTCGACCATGCCAGTAAATAGCATATCATTGGAAACAGGATATTACATGTCACCTCTAGTGCAGCAAATAGATATGATTAGGATCCAAGACAAGCCACAGGTTCCTTCTTTTTAATTGTAATGGCCGGCAAGAGCAACCAAAGCAAGGCGAGCTAGGCTACCAAAACTGATTAAGTTGTGGATAAGGCCTCGGTAGCCATAATGAAATTGATCAGATTCTCAGGACTTTTAAGAACCTTCAATAAATCTTTCAAAGAAGTCCTATTTGCAGTAAATATTGATGCGCGTCCAGGATATTGCTCTTCCGACTCTATCATGACGATAATTAAATTACACAGACCAAACTCATCCTATACTGACGCAAAATAAAAATGAAAATTGGATTAGCCATTTCTTTTTTATCCGTATAAAACATTTCCTGATGAAAAATAAATTGAATAAAACAAAACTTAATCAGTTTCTTATTCTGTGTAATTTTCTATATACGTTTTGTCATAAGTGTGTAATAAAGAGGCAATCTTGTTCTACGAATGCACTGATAGAGTGGAAAAACATCCATCAAGTTTTATACATGGATTGTTTTCTGCTCGGAATGATTAGCATTGGACACAACTATTTACAGTGGGGCCTAACGGAGTCTGAGCAATTCCTGTACATGCTAGGATCACAGTTTGTGGCTGTGTGCAGCATTTTGATGTTTCCTGTAGATTACGCCTGTAAATACACAACTGTTAGTAGACACATTAATGTAATCCTACATTTGACTTCTAATGTGTAACCAAGGTTTTCTAAGTGCCTCCATTAGGAATCAAACCCGGGGCCTGTGTTCATGAAAGCGGTCTCGTGCTCAAACTCAGATTCAGTGTTCAAGCCAAATTTCTTGTTTTGGCATGAAATATATGAAACTTCACAGTTCATAATTATTCGAGAAGTCCTTCAAAATGTCACTACAGAAATACCTAACTTCAAAGACTGCTAAAATGAACTATTATGGATTCCAGAGCACAGTAATTATCCGAACAATCCTAAATTGAACTGTTCATGAAGAAAAGGCACTGGATACTGAGCTTTGAATAAGCACTCTTCATAAGTACAATAAAGAATTATTATTCATAAACGAAAAACAATAACTTGTGCACTTTTAACATTTAACTCGAAACATTTTCAAGAACATAGTCTTTGAATCTTTTCGGTTGTTTCACTTTACGAACTGGTCGAGTAGCTGTTGGACTATTGGTTGTTTCGACACCGTTGGTTTGTCCTTGAGCTCTCACCTGAAGACTGACCTGTCAAACCTCTCCTTGACTCTGATGATTTTGGCTGACTCAGAGTGATCTGTGTTGGTGGATTAGTTGTACCACTATGACTTCTGGTGTGCCACGGAATATCCTGTGCAGTTGATGATAAATCTGTGGACTTGAGCTCTACTGAAATATCTTCCAGAGATTTTCCGTCAGATGACTAGGCTGAATACCTCACCCGGACATGGTCAATTTGGTGTTTGATCACACGACCATCAGTTAACTGTATCATATATGACACTGGGCCCGTTTGCGATACGATGGTTCCTTCCAACCATTTTTTCCCACTTGCAAAGTTTTTCGCAAACACAGTATCTGATGGTAGGAACTGCCTTTCACGTGCATGTCGGTCATGATAGTCTTTTTGAATCTCCTGCTTTTTAACCACTTTGCTCGTCAAACTAGGCTTGACAAGATCCAGTTTAGATCTTACACGACGTCCCATCAGTAACTCGCATGGTGCTATACCTGTTGTTGTTTGGGGCGTGATACGGTATGATAACAGGAAACGTGCTGAAACGTGCTAACTTCTGTTCCAGTGTTCCCTCTGTTTGTTTTCGTAAACCGTCTTTCAGTAACTGCACGGCTCTTTCCGCCATACCATTTGGGGCTGGGTGAAATGGAGCACTGCGTATATGTCAAATTCCATTTTCGATCATGAATGTAGCAAACTCCTGACTTGTGAAACATGTACCATTGTCGCTCACAACTGTTTCAGGCAAGCCATGTGTTGCGAATGCGAAACCTAGTTTTTCAATCGTCGCTGTAGATGTTGACGTGTTCATGGGAAACACCTCTAGCCATTTAGAGTACGAGTCTATAATCACCAGAAACATTTTGCCCATAAATGGCCCGGCATAGTCTATATGAATCCTGGTCCATGGAGGACTAGGAAATTCCCATGGGTATAAGGGTGCCTCTGGAGGTGGTTTCCTGTTTAGCTGACACAGCTCACGACTTCTTATCTCCTTTTCAATGTCGTTGTCTATAGAGGGCCACCAGACATACCCTCTGGCTAGACTTTTTATGCGATTTGTCCCTGGATGCCCTTCATGCAAAGCGCATAGAATCTGTGCTTATCCCTTGAGGGGAATAATGACCCGACTACCGCGAAGCAGACATCCATCCTCCACACTCAACTCTGTGCGGATGCTGTAGTATGGACTCATTTGGGTATCAGTGTTCTTTGGGGGCCATCCAGATTTTACGTAGCTCGTGATCTTGGCAAGCAGTGGAACTTGCAAAGTCCATGACCTAACCTGTTCCACTTTTACTGGTGAGTCCTCTAGCTGTTGCAGTACCATATTAATATCACCTGGAATTGGAGGTTCACTTAGTTTTACTGCATTGGCAGTCGACTTAGTCCATCCGCATAATTTTTCCGACCCTCTCTGTAGACTAGAGTATATTCATACGCAGATAAAGTTAGTGCCCAACGTTGTATCCTAGCTGCAGCCATTTCTGGGACTCGTCGGTCTTCCTTCAACAACCCAAGTAAAGGTTTATGGTCTGTATAGAGCAAGAAGTGATTTCCGTACAGATATTATGGCCTCTCTGATCCATCCTCTATTTTCATAGAGAGTACAGCTCCGATTCCGTAAGATGAAGCATCACAACACAAAATGATTTCTTTGTTGTGATCAAAATGTACTAAGAGTTCAGCTGACATGAGCAAGTCTTTGGACTTTTGAAATGCTGTCTACTCTTTTTCTCCCCAGGTCCATTTTGTGTCTCTAATGAGTAACTGATGCAATGATACTAGCACAGTGGATAGGTTTGGTAGAAACCTGTGGTAAAAGTTCAGCATGCCAAGATATGCTTGGAGCTCCTTGACTCCTGTTGGTGTTGGCATCTCACTTATAGCTTTAACTTTTCCCTGAATTGGCTGTATTCCTTCAGCATTCACTTTGTGACCAAGGTACACCACCTCCTTTGCTAAGAATACGCACTTAGACCGTTTCAGCCTAATTCCAGCTTGTGTAACTCTCCTTAAGATTTCACTGAGATTTCTTAAGTGTTCATCCCGATCACTTCCTGTGATTAGTAGGTCATCGACTCTAACCACTACATGCTGTAGGCCTTGAAGAAGATTTTCCATTGTCCTTTGGAAAATGCCTGAAGCAGAGGAAACTCCAAATGGGAGTCGGTTGTACCTATATAATCCTTTGTGAGTATTTATGGTGACATATTTCTTGAAGTCATCCTCGAGTTCAAGTTGTTGATATGCTTGACTGAGATCAAGTTTTGTGAACTTTTCACCTCCACAAGTCTTCAATTTTGGGTATAGGGTAATTGCCAAGCTTGGACACTGCATTAAATGTGACCTTATAATCACCACAAATCCAGATAGATTGCTCCTCTTTCACAATGGGTACAATTGGAGCTGCCCATTCCAAGAATTGAACTGGCTCAATCGTTCCTTCCCTCTCTAGCCGTCCTAATTCCTCCTCTACCTTTTTAAGAGTGAAATAGGGTACAGGCCTGGCTTTGAAATATTTGGGAGTAGCTCCTGCGTCCACATATCTATTGGCTTTGACACCTTTCATAGTACCTAGGCCCTCCTTAAATGCCTCTGCATACTTGTCCAATACCATGTCTAGATCATCAGATATCTCTCCAGCTCCTAACTGGTGCATTGTGCGAAAAATATTTGTCCGGTCTAGCCTCAGGTCTCGTAACCAATCTCTACCAATGAAGCTAGGGCCACTCCCATTGATAATTAAGTTGTTAATTGTGTATTAATTCAAGGAGGAGGGAGCCAAGTGCTTGAGAGGCTATCTCACATAATAGGCCCATTATATACCCTGCAGTGAGCCTCTCATTTACACCCCCGTAGGGCGCCACTTCAGCTTACTGACCAATCAACTTCAACTGACCATCAGTCAGCATCAGTCGCAGGGTTGGCTTGGTTTTTCAAATTCAAATGCCAGAGTCCCGCTGTGCTTTGACCCAGCAACACGTTTGTGGCAATTCTATTCTAATTGTTTGCTTTATGACAGACTTTGTCAAATGACATATTGGTGGCAATTCCCTTGGCTCCCTCCCTCTCATGTTTTCAGTTATATCTTTTGTAGTTTAGGTCATGTACATGTAGCTAGTAGGAGAACCAAGGTAGTTTTACTTGTATTTATATATATTACTTGAACAGCTTTTGGGTTCATGTGCGGGGCATATGTCAAGGTCATTGTATGACCCTACACATATGTCATCTTCCGTTGTTTAGGCGATTATATATTATTGCACAATATTACTTATCTTGCATAAGTATTTATTGCATATTATTGCGTAATAAATTACCATGATTTTCTAAGTCCCAAACCTGTCTTTGCCGTGTTCATTTTACATTTGACGTGGAATTGATTGTACTATTACAAGGGGTAGGGTTTTATCCTGTCCCTGATG